TGTCGGTGATGGTAGATGAGGCCAGAGAAGGCGTCTGCTAGTATATTTCTGGCTCGGGAATGTGCACTGCTCTGACATGTAGATTTAGATCTTGTATTAAATCGAACAGTTGAAAGCTTAGGTTCAAAAGGTTCATCGATCTCGTTGAGCCTTGCTTGTTTATGTAGAACGCCACTGTCCGAATTGTCTGTATGGATCATTAGGCCGCATTTTGTAGAAATGTGCTCCAATGTAGAATGGCGTTGATTACAGCTTTCATTTCTAGACTGTTTATATGGAGTTTGCATTCTTGCTGATTCCATAACCCTGATATCGTGTGGTTGGTGAGATGAGCTCCCCAACCTTGGGTGACGCGATCTACATACAGATGGGTTTTGTATTCCTGCTCTGCTAAACAAATCCCTTCGCAGACATTCGATTTCTTGGTCCACCATAGTAGATGTGGTCTGAGATGTTTCGGTAGACTGAATGGTTGTACATCGTTGAGATGTGCGTTGATGAGGACCTGTAGGGGCGTAACTGTAATCTGCCTGTGACAGTCATGTCTTGGGCTGATGTGAGAAGACCTAGTAGGCTCTGCCATTGTCGCAGTGGTAACGGAGAGAGTAGAGCTGGTGGAATGGTCTGTTGTATCTTGAGCCAACGGTCTTCTGGTACCATAATACGGTTTGCGATTTGTGATGAATCGAATACCTAGGAACTGTAGGTCTTGCGATGGTACTAGGTCCGACTTGCGTGTAAGTTTACTAACCAACCTAGTTGTGTTAGTAGCTTTATGATGTAATTTAACTGTAGTTTGAGACGAGTGGATCTTGATCTACTTGTATCCCGTCGTCGAGGTAAAACGCACTGCGCGTAGCCCTTGACGATGTAGAAATTTGATAATCGGTTTCGTTATCCTCGTGAATAGCCAGGGGGCTGATGATATTCCGAATGGGAGTACTTTCCACTGGTAATGTAGCCCTTCTAGAGTAAATCGTAGGTATTTCCTGGAATCGGGATGAATGGGGATGTGCAAGTAGGCATCCTGTAGATCTATGCTGCCCATGTAGTCCATAGGACCGAATCATCTGGCGTAACTGAGGTAAATGTATCATGCTTAAAACTCGGTGGTTTGCGTAGATAGTTCTTGTTGAAAAGCTCATGTTGTAGATGAGTCTGTATTTCTCCGTGGAGTTTTTCTTGGGAACTAGGAAAACTGGGGAGTAGAAACCTGGTTCGACGTTTGCTTGATCTATTACTTCTATGGCCTGTTTGGATAGGAGTGATGAGACAGCCTCTTTTATCTTTGGTAGTTGTTGCGCTTGTAAATCGAACTTGGGGGGTTTGATTGTCAGCGGAGGCTTGTCCTGTAGAGGGATACGAAATCCGTGTTGAATAATGTTGGAGACGTAAGGATCTTGCAGTATTCCCCAGTTTTCCCAGTGTAGTTGGAGGCGTCCACCCACTTGAGCTGGTTGTACTGGAACGGCTGGGGGTGGAAGACTCCAGTCGTTCCGAACCTGTGTTTCAGCGTCTATAATTGCGGGAACCTCTGGGTGTCCTGCCTCTTCCTGATCCTCCTCTATAGTTGCCATATGGCGACCGAAAAGAATCTTTACCTCTAGAGCTGGCTATCTTCCTGTCTCTTGCTCTTTGTAGGCCCGTGAACTTAGATCTGCCTGAGTATCTTTGTGAAGTCTGGACGAATGACGCTGGCTAGTGTGTCCATCGATCTAATCATAAGGACTTCCCTGGAATCCTTAGAGACTTCCTTGGCGACCTTGTCGATTTCTCCGTCAAAGATGGATGTTGTCGACGACCACGGGCTGTATAAAGTGGGGCTGTAAAGTTCTCCCCAATTACAGGAGGCGAGGAGGCCTTGACTGACGAAGCTAAGGTCAGTGCTGCTGAAACAGATGTAAGATGATCCGCTTAAAACTGCTGATCTTTCTTTTGCATAAGTAAGGCAGAATAAATCATTCTATCATCTTCCGTCGTGGAATCCCGAATCTAGTAATAAGAGTCTCATTGATCGTCCTAGATCTATTTAACCCAAAGAACATACGTCTCGTCATGGTTTCTATATGAGCCAACTTGCGATCATCCATCTTGTAAATCTTGTTCTTTACATCGCTGATGATCTTATAGTTCTCATCGATGTCCTGGGCCTTGTAGAAGGAGTCCATGTTATGCGTGGAGAACTTCTTGGCTTGAAAGTTGGGTAGATGTGGTATCTGAACTTTCTGATTATCGGCTGATCATCGTAGAGGCCCAACTCTGCTGCTGGAACGATCTCGGCTGAGAAAGTTCTTGCTGTCTTCGTAGATTTCCCTTTGGAAGTCTGCGCTGCCCTGGGTGTCCTCAATCTGCGTTGAGACGACGATGAGGCCCTCTTAGACTTAGTCTGCAATGACGGGATGTCTGGGGAGGCCGGTCGTTTCTTCGAGGTAACGGACTGCGTCCCACGTTCCTCTGCCGCAGGGGTCTCTAGCAGAACACCAGATCGGGAGAGGGTCGATCGCTAGCAGCTGACTGGAAGGAATATCTGGACTCTCTGCCATGTTTTGCCCTTGTTTTGCGTGATCTATCTGCAGCACGTCTTAAAAGACGCAAAGATGATATTTATTAAATGCAGAATGAGATAAATTAATGCAGTAACTGCAGCGTGGAATTAAACGCTGCACGGCGTGAGAACAACTAGGGCATATTACATGTGGATCGGAGGCAGAAAACGTAATCTACAAATCGTACAGATTTTCATGAGCGTAAAGCTAGCTGAACAATCACGAATACACGATGAATAAACAGTAGAAATACGATAATTAATCAATACAAATAGTAAAGGATACTAGCTATACCTCTATAGTAACCTATGAGGAGGTAAAACTAAGAGATTATCAAAGGATATGTGTGTAAGGAGACACAAGGCGCTCTCACATCCTGCTCACTGGGCGAAGAAGGAGAGAGTGGAGCACATGGCCAGAGGGTGGCGACACCTTTTCCCGCCAGGGGAGACAAAGGGGAGCAACTCGTGGTGAGTACCAATTAGTGATTTTATTTTGAAGGGAGCTTCAAATAAGGAGATACAAGTGTTCCACTATGTTCGCAAGAAGAAGAAGACAAGCAAAAGAGCATGAGTCAGGATAAGGAAAAATAATATGTCAATCTATGCCAGGACATACACTTGAGGATCATTTATTCAATTATTCAAAGCGGAGTAGTATAACAGTATTTGCTTTGGTGTTAATCGTCCTTTCATTCCTTCAAAACCCAACCATATTCAATTTAATTTTAAAGGTATCGTAACATTATGTGGTTAGGCTTTTAAAAGGCTTTTAAAACATATATTAAAAAAAATACAACTGACAATACATAACCAAGAAAAACATTCCATGGATTCAGGTGAGCCAGTGTAGAAGTTTTTGTTTGTTTGTTTTTTAACGCCGCACTCAGCAACATTCCAGCTTTGTGGCAGCAGTCTGTAAATATCTGTGTCTGGACCCGACTATCCGGTGATCAACAGCATGAGCATCGATCTACATAATTTGGATACGATGACATGTGTTAACCAAGTCAGCGAGCCTGACCACCCAATCCCGTTAGTCGCCTCTTACGACAAGCATGGTTACTGAAGACTAATTCTAACACAGATCTTCATGAGTTCCAGCTTTGTAACGAAAATAATGAGAAAGACAAGTGCTGGAGGTTGAAGGGGTTGCACCCACTTCCCGTGTATTCTAATCCATGGGTGTGAAGATTTTGTTGTGTATTGCTTTTAATTACTGTTGCATTTTTTGAATTTTTACACACAAAAATGTTGAAAGTACATAATGAAACTGTGTAATGATGAAACAGCCTCGTAACTTGCAGTACTCATGTCACTTCCATACACTACATTTGGTCAGTAATGTTTCAAAAGCCGACTCAGCCTGCAAATGGTGGCATGTTCGTGTCTGACGGGTTCTCACAAAACTGGCTGCTTACCTCAGTGACATGTAACAAACTACTGCTGAGATTGTTCACATGAGAAGTTGTGGTGCTGAATTCTTAAGGTTCTCCACAAAATCAATTTGAACTAAGTGTGCCTGCTGTTTAGCATCCCCCTCTGACAGAGATATTCCAGCTACATAGAGTCTGTATCTAACAACCCAGTGATTGACAGCATGAGCATTGTACTTGCTAACAACAGAGGTACTGATAAAACACAATGTCTTTGACAATATCTATTTAAATGCATGTATGTCGTCAACAGATGCATTACAGTTTCCTTAAAGCTTAGATGCAGCCACCAAAATAAACATAATTAAAACACAATTATCATGTATTCATGACATATAATATACATTGTTGCTGATGAAATAACAAATAAACAAAATTATAAGCGTACAATCGCAAATCGAAAGTGCAATATTTACTACCTTCGAAACAAAGCACCCAGGATACCGAACCCAGTCAGAGCGTGTTGGCGTGCACTTAAGTGGAATCAAGACTTTCATTGGCTGGTTCATTTGGCCGGTTCACCCCAGCTAGGTTTTTTTTTAGTGAATTGTTTGAACTCCGATTTCGCAGGATTTTTTTCATCGCGTTATTTTTAACAAGCTGAATTTCCATTTTTGATAACTTGTTACTGCAAGTCCATACCAATAGGTATCAGAATCTGCAAAGTTGTGTTTTGCGTTGCATGTAAGCTTTAAGTTATCAAACCATGGATCAGAAACATAACAATGTTAAGAAATTTCACTTTGAATGTTAGATACAAATCTCCACCTTGGTATTGCTGCCTCCCCAATTTCCCTCTCAACCAAACTTACATCATCATGCAAGACACCAGATTATCTTCTAAATCACAAGTAACTGTACAAGATATTCCTGACCAGAGACATGTTTTCTTGTAAAACGTGTAAATTAACATATGCCTTTGTTCTACACTGGACTTACTGCGTAAGTGAGAGAATGAGAGAGCCCACCTGAATGAGCAAATGTTGAAGAAATTTGACAGTAACCACATGTCTACTTACATTGGAAATATACATAGTGCCATCATTTCGATCATCCATTGCTCCTTGCATCTGATCCTGAAATACAAATACTTTGAATAGTTTACCTTCATGAAATTAATTACAAAATGTCCTGTGAGATGATTTATGAGATTTTTGTGTAAAAAAACAACACACTGACAACATCTCATACATAGACAGCATCTCACATACAGACATCACAAACACAGACATCTCACACATCGAGAATCTCTCACACAGACATCTCACACACATATAATCTCACACATCGAGAATCTCTCACACAGACATCACAAACACAGACATTGCACACATATATCACAAACACTGACTACTAGGGGTGAAACGGTACGCTCTTACCCTAGTACGGTACATATTGCTGTAGGGCGGTGGGGTAGCCTATTGGTAAAAGCGTTCGCTCGTCACGCCGAAGACCCAGGTTCAAATCCCCACATGGGCACAATGTGTGAAGCCCATTTCTGGTGTCCCCTGCCGTGATATTGCTGGAATATTGCTAAAAGCGGCATGAAACACTACTCACTCACTCACATATTGCTGTACAAGGCCTTCAGTTTAGTCCGTTTCAGTTTGGCATATGAAATATGTAATTTTCTGAATAAAATTGATATTTGATACTTATCCTGACTCATGCTTAATGCTTGTCTCCTTCTCCTTGCGAATGATAGTGGAACACTTAAAATCACTTGAAGTTCCCTTCTAAAAAGCGGACGTAAAATCATCAATCACCCACGAGTAGTCTCCCTTGCCTTCTTTGGCGCCCTCTTTTTTGGTCACATGACCAGCCATGTTTGTCACTCTCTCCGATTGTACACCCGACACCCAGATTTACAGGGAAATCCAGAGTGCCCTGAGAGGGGAGGTTGGGAGGGCTGACCTGATGAGTCAGGATAAGTATAAAATATCAATTTTAGTCAGAAAGTTACATATTTTTCCTTATCCTGACTCATGCTAAATGCTTGCAGAATCCGTCGGAATCGGTGGTGGGTCAGGCCACTTCCTGGATTCACTGGCTGCTGTTTTACATCCTGTATTACCCCCCATGGGAACTTATGACGTCACTGCTGCTGATTCTGTTCTTCCATCTTCCATCTGATGATTCGGGGGGGGGGGGGGAAGAACCACAATTTGTCAGATTTCTTCCGAAACTTCTCCTGACATTTTCTTGTGGATTTTAGATATACTAATGTTCCATTAGTTATCTATTGCAACTCCATCTCTTGATGCGTGCATCAAGTGGAGATGCGACCCTTCTTCATGTACGAGTAAGTCCTATACAAGTACAGTGTCTATCACCCATCCTAGCCTGTCCTAGACGTGTGCATGGACTGTAACCATTTGCTCTCCAGAGCGTTGGTTTTCACAAGTCACATGATATAAGGGTGAGATTTTTCTCAGCACCTTTGTGGAACCGTTAGTTGTTGTGCTACAACAAGTGGCCCAAACTGGTGAATGCCTGAGACGTCTTCGGTGGCAATGTCTCTGAGGTAGTGGTTGGCAAACACCGTGTCCTATTTCCAAAAGCAGCCCGCCCTCCATTATTGTTGTAATTGAGCAGTTTCCATGCAGAGCAAGTGTAGACGCCAAGGCTCTGACTTCATGGGGATTGGAGGCTCGTGGAGTCCACGCTGCTTTGTAGGACCTTAGTATGACGGCTCTCATCCAAACTGATATAGTTGTCCGTGAGACTTCCGTGGGTGTCTCAGTGGATAAGGGGATCAATAGGTGCTTGAATTTTCGTCTCCTTATTTTTGTCCTTTGCAGGTAGACTTTCAATGCTCTGACAGGGCATAAGGATAAATCCTGTGTATCCTGTGGCCCAAGGACTGTAGAGACTTCTGTGGGCGTCTCAGTGGATAAGGGGATGAATAGGTGCTTGAATTTTCGTCTCCTTATTTTTGTCCTTTGCAGGTAGACTTTCAATGCTCTGACAGGGCATAAGGATAAATCCTGTGTATCCTGTGGCCCATGACTGTAGAGACTTCTGTATGCGTCTCAGTGGATAAGGGGATGAATAGGTGCTTGAATTTTCGTCTCCTTATTTTTGTCCTTTGCAGGTAGACTTTCAATGCTCTGACAGGGCATAAGGATAAATCCTGTGTATCCTGTGGCCCAAGGACTGTAGAAAGTGCTGGGATGTTGAACTGTCTGTCAGGCTGTCCGGGCAGTTGGTTCTTGGCAATAAAGTCCCATCTCAGTCCCAAGTCCAGAGCATGTATTTCTGTCAACTGTGCTGTTGTTGCTAGGGCAATCAGAAGCAGCGTTTTCTGTGTCAGTAGTTCAAAGGAGGTCCGTTCTAGAGGCTCGTAGGCGTCACTGGTGAGATGTTGTAGAACTACCCAGGCAGAAGCCTTGAATTTCTTTTTGCTGGTCACTGGTGAGATCTCTGGTACTTTTGTCAACTGATTGTGCTGAGATCAGCCTACCCAGGCAGAAGCCTTGAATTTCTTTGCTGGTCTTCCAACTTGAGGCAAGCGTAGTAGTGCCAGTATCTCTGGTACTTTGGTCAACTTGACACCCGTCTTCATGGTGATAACTGTGCTGAGAGCAGCCAGGTATGATCCTGGAATGTGACATGCCTTTCATGTAGATGAGAGTGTTGAACCTTTTGATCACTGTCTTGTCTGCACCCCATCCTTGTAGTGATGCATCCACGAGATTAGTGTTGCAAGCTGGCTTTGACAAAAAGGTTCCTCCGAAAACAAATGACACAAGTATTCTTGAGCTGAGGTGAGCGCATTGCTTGAGATATCATATGTTATATCTTGACCTAACGATCCTCTGGAGACGTTCATGTGATCTCAACGGCGTGATGAGTTGTATTCCTAGAAATTGAAAGTTGAGGAGATTTTTACCAGCCATCCTATATTTTGGCATGAAATGCATGTGGACCCGCTTTTTTGTAAGTTGATCTGCTGTCAACAAAATAGAGCTAGTGTGAGACTGCTTTGGGTTCTTGATAAACGCTGCAGAAATTTAAGATCCTGTTTTGGTTCCAAATCTGATTTAGGAGATTCTAGCCATCTACTGCAATCATGTCCTACGTCAGAGGTAAGTTGGATCTAGGAGGAGATTTACCCTCTTGTCTTTAGGCTAAAGCTTTGATACTTTGTACCCTGCTAACTGGACTGTAAATCGAGACGCTGAAAGAGTTGTTGACTACAGTAGATGACTTCCTGAACATGTGTATGTCTCTCATGGACCAATCAGATTGAGTTGCAGGTAAATGATCCTTGTAGAATCTTGTGTAGTTGTTGATTTCTTCATCAAAAACGGAGTTACACGATTGAACATGTGTATAGATGGCTGAGTGGAAGCGCCGAAAAGCAGACCGATGTAAGCAGACTGTTCTCTGTCTGTTGTGACTGTGTTCTTCAAATATATAATCTTTACTGCAGTTGTCATCTTATATGAGAATGCTCCAACGGGGTGGGGGTGGGTGGGGTGGTGGTTATTAGCTCCTGCACTTTCGCGAAGGCTGTTCTTAGATTATAATCCTGCCTGCAGGTTGATAAAGGTCCAAGATAAAAGCTCCGTATCTGCGCAGTCTGTAGAATCCTGAAGAACGACTGGATCTACTTCTGTGTTAGAATCCTTCCTGCTGAGACGCTGAAACTGCGCGGAGGCTCCATCGGAGGCTCCAGCTGGCATTCGCGTTGGACTTCCAGGCTAACTGCTAAGCTGACGGTAAAGATCTTCGCGAACGAATCTTAGGCCTTAATCCGACAGAGCTTGCATAGTTAATATTCCTTCGCGCAGGGAGATTGTCATCGGAGGGGTCTGCTATACTGAGCTGACGTTAGTAGAGTTCTCCAGACTTCTAATTTCAGACGGTGAACTTGGACATTTCCCAATCTGAAGATCCATTATGACATGATTTGACGTAATCTCCCCTCTGTGAGATGTGGAGAGCCTGTGTGCAGGTTCCCGATGTGAGTCTAAGTCCGACAGTGATGACGATCCATATCTGCAGCGTCTGTAGGATTCTGGAGAACGCTTCGATCTGCTTCTGTGTGGAGATTCTTAGAGGCTCCTTCGGGGACGTCTAAGGCTGAGCTGACGTTGGTAGCGTTGTCCAGACTTCAAGCTTCAGAAGGTGAAGATCGTCAGGTGCGTGGGCCTTCGCGCAGGCTTTCCTCTTCATCCAGGTGCGTTGGAGAGGTTGCTGAACCTTCGCGCAGGCTTGTAGTCATCGTAGTGGTCTTCGTAGCAGCTTCCTCCTGCGTGAAGCAACGTTCCATCATCGACATCATCTGATCTGTAAACTGTTGCATGAACAGTCCTGGGTTGAAGTTCTGTGACATATGTTGAGACTGCTGCAGGGTTGATGATGCTTCTGAGAACGTTGACGCCTCATCTAAGGTACGCTGCACTTGTGAAGAGTTGACGCTGCTGCTATCTCTGGTACCCGATGTCTGCGTTGATAGAAGGTTTTCTGTCAATGTCTGTTCTGATATAGTTGCCGATGTAGCTGTTGGAGCACGCTTCGTCTTCTTGCTGACAACTGTGACTTCAGGTATGATGATGGGGGGATCATCATACACGTCTGCTTCTTCCAGAGGTACAATATCGGCAGTGAAGGATCTCGTCTTCTGTGTAGAGCTCTGAAGAGACTTCGACAAAGTCTTAGGAGCTGTAGACTTCTTCTGCGCTGAAGAAGATCTTCTCTTCTTTGTCTGTGATGAGGACAGCTCCATTGGAGATCAGATCTCTACTTATTCGAGACGGAGTTCATCACTGGAACAGCGACCTGCCCCCGTAAAACGCTCGACAATTCACTGGAATTATGAACATCGGCACCAGTAGTTAACACACGGTTATCAGCGCAATCACTCGATTTACCAGACATGACTTGTGAATACCTTCTTACCCAGTCCTTTGCATGTCTATGAAGAGAAAAAAGGTAGTTATTCAATTCAAAGTAGTTAGTTCCTGACAATGTTTACAGCAAGAGCTGGAAGAACACATAGTAGTGCAATCAGGACATAATATATGCGGGTCAGCCGCAGACTTACAACGGATACAAGTTTTCATCAACTTGTCTATGAAGAGAAAAAAGGTAGTTATTAAATTCAAAGCAGTTAGTTCCTGACAATGTTTACAGCAAGAGCTGGAAGAACACATAGTAGTGCAATCAGGACATAATATATGCAGGTCAGCCGCAGACTTACAACGGATACAAGTTTTCATCAATTGTAAACAAGATGAAAAACATGGTAAACAACGTATAATTTAGACATAATATCAAACCATTTGATAATATAAAATCCAAAAACCGTATACAGCTGCAATGTAAATGTAAAAAGTCCAAAATAGAAAAGGATATGTGCCGTATAGGGACCCAGGTGCTCTCACAACCGTCCTCAAGGGCGAAGAAGGAGAGAGTGACAAGCATGGCTGGTCATGTGACCAAAAAGGGCGTCAAAGGAGGCAAGGGAGACTACTCGTTGGTGAGTGATGATTTTACGTCCGCTTTTTAGAAGGGAACTTCAGGGGATTTCAAGTGTTCCACTATCATTCGCAAGAAGAAGGAGAAAAGCATTTAGCGTGTGTCAGGATAAGGAAAAATATGATCATAATGCAGAAAATTGACAACAAGAGCCAAACCTTACATTGTTTAATAACATGGGAAAAAATAACCATAATCTTTGGTATTTTGAATGAACAAAACTGTCATTTTATGACTAGTTAGAAGAACGGTACGAAAATCAAAAATACCTAATTTTTGGATTGCATTACAGTATACCGAACCGAAGGCAATATACCACAGTTCTACTGATACCGTGGTATACCGTTTCACCCCTACTGACTACATCTCACACAGAGACATCACAAACACTCACAACATCTCACACACATACATCACAAACACTGACAACATCTAACATACATAGAATCAATTCAAGATCTGTTTGATATATCTGCCAAGTTTTCTTGAAAGATATTGAAGGTTTACAAACTGTGCTCTGGAAACGAAGCTCACACCTCCTTTTTGATACTTAGTCCAAAGCATTTCCATGGAAACGATAAAAAATAAATATGCCAAAACTTTGCAAATAGCAAAAGGCACCACTTTAGCTTCTGTTTGATATATCTACCAAGTCTTGTAGAAAGATATTGAACGGTTTCTGAGTTATGAAAAATAAAAATTACAAAAATCTGTAAATAGCAAAAGGCACCACTTTAGGTTCTGTTTTATATATCTACCAATTTTTGTTGAAAAAAATTGAACATTGTTTTAATTATGCTCCGGAAATAAAATAATTGCTTTTTATCCTTTACATATAGCTTCCAAATCATGAGTAACTGTACAAGATATTCCTGACCAGAGGCAAGTTTTCTTGTAAAAAGTGTAAATTAACAGATGTCTTTGTTCTACACTGAACTTAGTAAGTGAGAGAATGAGAGAGCCCACCTGAATGAGCAAATGTTGAAGAAATTTGACAGTAACCACATGTCTACTTACATTGGAAATATACATAGTGCCATCGTTTCGATCATCCATTGCTCCTTGCATCTGATCCTGAAATGCAAATACTTTGAATAGTTTACCTTCATGAAATTAATTACAAAATATCCTGTGAGATGAAGTATGTGACAACAAGAATCATTAGAAGATGACAAATCCCCCTGGCCCCCACATATATGAAAGAGCAAAGCATCTGACAGTTACTTGATCTGACCAACTTGATTTTTTTTTATATGACCAACTTGATTTTTTTAGACTAAGTCCAGAACCTTTCCATGGAAACCAAGAAAAATATAAATGCCAAAAATCAGTATATAACAAGAAGCACCACTTCAAGATCTGTTCGATATATCTGCCAAGTTTTGTTGAAAGATATTGGAAATTTTAATATAAATTGGATATTTATATACTTATCCTATCTCACGATTTGCACTTCTCTCTCTTGCTTTGACGCTGAGTGGAACAAATGAGAACTTTTCCTGTAGGCCTCTTTTGTCTATACGCCCGTGTTCCCCAGGCTGCTCTCTTTATAGGACAGGTCCCTAGTCCCTGGCTAAGCATGCAGCACGTTCCCCTGTCTACCCACGTGACTACCTCAGAGTGATCATTCTTCTTCTTGGAGCCAATGACAGTTATACGTAACCGTCGTAATCTGAGTAGAGGGGAGGCTGGGTGGTCATCCATCGCGTGAGATAGGATAAGTATATAAATATACAATTTTTATTAAAATTTCCAAATTTTTAAACTTATCTTATCTCACGATTTGCACTTATCCCACGGTTGGACGGCGGGTTGCTGATTACCCTAAGTCAAAAGGCACTGACAGTATATACTGTATAGGCTAATGGCAACCGTAGATAGCAATGAACAAGGGAGGCTCGGATCTGACTAGGATAGTACTTATACTAGTGATGGGTTCTCCTGAAACCCTTGGCTTACTAGGCATCATGGCTCCTAAGGAGTGGGTGCTCCTGAGCAATATGGTGTTGAGGCCGCAGGATCCGACTAGCATAGTACCTATACTAGTGATGGGTTCTCCTGAACCCCTTAGCTTACTAGGCACCATCACTCCCATGGAGTGGGTGCTCCTGAGCAATGTGGTGTTCAGCAGTAACCCTCGCATATGCGCAAGAAAACGCAACTAGGCAAGTCACCTTGCTTCGCCACGATTTATCACAGTATCCCAGTAATTACAACTAGTAATCGGGCCCGCACCTGCTTCAAGACAGCCCCCCAGACCCCATCACAAAGAGTGGAAAAGGAAACTGAATCAGAAAACTCACAAGTTTAACGTTCAGTACCAAAACAACACCACATGACTTCCACTACTTACCACAGTTAGGTCACAACAGTGTGCTAAGGTACTTAGGAGCTAGAACGCTACGAAATCCATAAGGAAATCGGGAAGGACTCACTACACTGACGTGATTGCTCCGTGGAGTAGAGGTCAGCAAGCGAGATTGTCGAACACTTCTACATGACAAGGTAGGCCCATAACTACCTAGGTCACTATGTGCGATGGTTAGTTCGAGCCCATTGACTTACTAAGTACAATTGCTCCCAGGGACCGGGACTCCCGAGCAATGTGGTGTTCAGTCACTACCTTCATGAAAGTGAAAGGACGCAGCTTAGTTAGTGTAATCAGTCGCATTACCCCAATTTCCAAGGTACCCCCATAATAAAAGTCTAATGACTAGTATCGGGCCAGCCCCTGCTTCGAAACAACCCCCACAGACATCGTCCCGAGGAGGGTGAAAGGGTAATTGAATCGGAAAACTCACAATTTTAACGTTCAGTACAACATCATCATCTTATGACTTCCACTACTTACCACAGTAAGATCACATAGATGTGTATCGGTACTTAGGAGCATGAACGCTACGAAGTGTAACACTTCGGGAATGACTCACTTCACTGATGTAATTACTCCATAGAGCAGACAACAGTTAGTGAGGTGGCGACTCTCCAGAGTCTCAAATTAAATTGAGAGGAGAAATCGAAGTCCCGGAAGAATCAAAGACATAAATCAGACATAAAATTCAGAATTTTATTCAGATTGTACACAAAGCAGCAACAATCGCAACTGGTGATCATCTGCGCTGAAGCTGATGGTTGTACCGAGTGGCGAACAGGTCTACATCTGGTCGTGATAACAGGTAGATCTTCGATTGGAATATCAGAGGCAGTTGTTTCCACTCCGTGAGTGATGGGTGTTTGGGACGTGACAGGGCATCGGCAATGACATTCCTCATCCCGGGAATGTGTCGGGCTCTGGCCACTGTGTTGAGTGAATCGATCAGATGATAAATTTGAAACATCAACTGAAGCAGAGCTGCTGATCCTGTCGACCTCTGATGATTTATGTATCAAACTACCATCGAAATGTCTGATTGAATCAGTATATGAGAGGACCGTAGTTCACCTGCCCAATGCCGAACGGCGAGAATGACAGTGCTGAATTCCAATTCATTGATATGAAGGGCCCTTTCTCCTGATGACCACTGCTAGGCCACTTGATGGAGAAAGTGAGCGCCCCAGCTTGAGAGATGCGTCGACAAACAGGTGTTGAGTCGGTATGAAGGGCACCATAGAGACTCTAACACAAACATTCCACTTGTTGAGCCACCAACGAAAGACTGAATGTAGTTGTGCCGGAAGACGAATCAACTCCCTGGGGTTGTCGTCCCGGATGAAGAAACATCTGAAGAGGGCGAAGCTGAAGCTGGCCCCTGTAAGTCAGCGCTTGTGCCGATGTCAACCACCCTAGTAACTTCTGCCACTGGCGAAAAGTTGTGGGTTGGACCAGCACTAGTGGTACGTTGCACTGAATCTTGTCCCACCTCTCCTGGGGCACAAACATCATGACCTGTCGTGTTGAATATTGTCCCAATAAAAAGTAATCACCGGGTCGGTGTTACCTCCGATTTCTCCTAATTCAGCAGCCATCCTAATTGCGCGAGCAACTTGATGATGAACTGCCTGTGGAGATGAAGGACGACTGGATCCTGCTGGGCTTGAACACAGTCGTCGATATAGTTCTCGAATGTCACGCCTCAACAATGCAGGTAGCTTGTTATCGGATTGGGTACCTGAGTAAAAGCCACGAGGCCGTACATATGCCAAACAGCAGGACCCTCCATTGGTATCAATGACACCCCTGGAAAGTAAATCGAAGATACTTCCGATAGTATGGATGTATCGGGATGTGAAGGTAGGCGTCTCGCAGGTCGAGGGAAATGAGAGGTCTAACAACTCTTGCCTCTGACAAAGAGATATCTCCTGAGATAGGAAAGTTCAATTAGTCCAGCTTCCATGCCAGTACTAATGGAATGCTGAATGTAGTAGGTTCAGCGCATGGAGATTGTCAGTCAATCTACAGGAACGTTCACATTGTAAATGAAGTGAAGAAATTCGTACGATCGGCAACCTCAGGAACGTTTTGGTTGGCTGAACAAAATGATGGTTCGCCAGGTGGAGTGATAAAGGTAGTAGAACGCTGCCTCGTGACAGTCCGGACAAAACTGCAGTGACCTCTGAACTCAGTGCTTGAGCTAGTGTAGAAAACAGCGTAACCCCAGCCAAAGTCAAACCGTTCATGGGTGTTTCTGTCTGTCACCCTCGATAAGCAGTCTCTCTCGACTGGCTGACGAAATCCCAACACAATCATTCTTACCGGGAATGGCACCGTTCATTGTTACTAGCCTTTGAAGGCTGGACTTGATATCCAACTCGTGGGACCAAGACAAGTCTACCAGGGCACTTCATAGTCACTCTAGCCATCAAAATTCTGGTAAACAAACAGTAGTCCGCCATTTGCAAACGTTACCCACAATGCGACAAAAATCCGGACAACACAGTGTTTGGTTAACCGGGCGAGTCACAACCCATAAATTCCGGGCTGAGCTATGCTGACTACTTGACAAGACATTGCTGCTGGTACCATGCACAAAAACTTGACCCATCTGTCATCTGTCCAGAAACTTGCTGATGATGTAAAACGCAGGGTGCTGAAGATGACGAACCATCTGCAATGATTGCACCCAGCGATACACAGAAAGGCTGTTACGAGTAGTCTGTAGTAACAAGACTCAGTGAAGTGTCAAAGTATACCTGGCTAGCAAGCTTATCTAGTAATGCCCTATCGGGTGGTCGTAGTGCTGATATCTACGCCGAAGGATAGATTCTTTGAACTGAATCATTCATCAAAGGTGAAGATCGGATGGTAGATTAAGTCTGGAATGAGATGAGTCCTGGTCACGGAGGAATCTTGAGAACTGGGACCATCAGACCGTCAAGTGCCGGGCGTAATATGTCTAGATGACTGCGCTACTGACATCAAATGTGAATAGATTCGGCATGGTGAAGCACATAGCTACTACTTCTGTTCAACCAGCAGAAAAAGGGTACCAGATGGGATAAGTTATGTGACTAAAAACTTTAAGAGCCTCACAAGCCGTAAGGTAAACCGGATAAACAAATCAGTTCGTCATGCTTAGAGCTTGACACTCCGTGGTGAGCGAATTCAGCACCTCACAGATGCCCTGAAAACTAGGATCGTGTTGAAAACTAGCAGAGTTCGACAAATTTGGCTGTATCTAGATGCAAGTTCACGATCCTCGTTGAGGATGTGAAAAACCAGTGTTGACAAGTCCCATCCTTCATGTAGAATGTAATAAATAGAACATCTGGTATTTTCCTCTAGGTATCTGTAGGTGGTCGGCAAACCAGCGACCATGTGTGTCGAATCAACCAAAACAATTCCTGCATATTAAAGGCGACTGGCATAGCCCGAACCATGAAAACAAAGACGAAGTTCGATGTGGGTTAAGTGTCTTGGCGGCATCCCAGACAATTTGCATAGGCTCTGACGAACCAATAGGCTGAGTGGTGAATCGCCGAATTCGGTGAATCAGCTCAATTGGTAGGCAAGGTTCGAGGAACGGATTACTGACGAATGCTGACAGTTTGATGAATGCTGACGATTCAGTGATCTTGAATGGCCAGGTGAACTGGTTCGGCGATATAAAGCGGTTCGGCCTAGTGAAACGGGACGAGTCAGGCTAATAAATCGGTTCAGCTTAGTGATCTGATTCAGAATGGTGAGCCGGAACATTGATGTGATCTGGATCGGCGTTGTGATCTGGATCCTGACTGTGATCTGGATCAGTTTGGTAGTCCGAAACATTTAAATGATCTCAGCTGATGGAGAGATCTAGAACAATCAGATGAACCGGTGAGGTGAAATGTTCCGGCCGAGGTGAATTGGTTCAACGAGGTGAATCGTTTCGGTGAAGAAAACCGTTATGGCGAGGCGAACCGTTTTGGTGCAATGCATCGAATCGATGATGTGAACCGTTTCCGCAATATGAAACAGTCTTATATATGGCGAATTATGTCGATGTCATGATCCGATACACCTTGGCGAATTGGCGAAATGGTTCGGCCTGGTGAATCCATTCGGTGTGGTGAATCGGTTTGGGGATGAGACAATGTAGATCGACTGTATGATTCTTTTGCAACACAGAGCGGTTCGATGAGGTGGAACGACGAGTAGACATCTGATGATGCGCCAATAAAATCATCACCTTCCGACACGGGAATCTCCAAATGACGAGAAGTTAATAGCATGTCCATATGATCTAAAAACGTCCTTGATAAGGGAGCACATTCCCGACAATGCTTGTTTCAGGAACACAGGTCAATACAACCCACACATGACGAGTGGGGGATCCGAGGAAGAAAATATTGTTACAGTGTGCGCAAAATTACGCTACTTAGGGTTAACTACCCATGATATATATTTCTCATGTTGACTTTAAGGAAAACTGAAAACTCTCACAATACGTCCACACAATGGTGCGACAAGAAGAAGAATGATCACCTGAGGTAGTCACGTGGGTAGACAGGGGAACGTGCTGCATGCTTAGCCAGGGACTAGGGACCTGTCCTATAAAGAGAGCAGCCTGGGGAACACAGGCATATGGACAAGAGAGGCCTACCGGAAAAGTTCTCATTTGTTCCACTCAGCATCGAAGCAAGAGAGAGAAGTGCAAATTGTGAGATAGGATAAGTTTGAAGGTTTTCAAGTTTTGCTCCGGAAACAAAGCTCACCCCTCACTTTTGAGACCAAAAAAAATCTGTAAATAGCAAAAGGCACCACTTTAGGTTCTGTTTGATATATCTACCAATTTTTGTTGAAAAATTTTGAACGTTGTTTTAATTATGCTCCGGAAATAAAATAATTACGGACGGACAGATGGACAAGGCATTGACTATATCCCCCCACATTACATGCCGAACGAATTTTAATGAAATTGGTGAAGAAATAAAGATTTTAGAAAATCGTACTGATACAGTATATACATAAAATACACAAGGGGTGACACTTCTCAAGTTAGAAACCTGATCGAAAACTGTTTTAACTTGCAGTTTAATCAAACCTTACGCTTTTCACAAAACAATTGTGTTGAGCTTGTAGGTCACACTTTTTCCTTTCTGCACATCATATTCAATATGTCTCACTGCATTTCATACTTGAACACTGACCCTTGCATTAGCTCTACCCTCTGCATTGAACAAACGTTTCACCTCTCTTCGGTAAACATTGATAGTTTCCGTAAATCTTTGAATGACTCAGAAATAGAAAACGTCTCTCATTGGCCAATTTCCATGTGTGCACATATTGCGGGAAATATGAAAATTGTGTTTTCCCTCCAACATGGACAGTGACATCTCACACACAAACATCAGAAACACTGACAACATCTCTTACACCTAGAATCTTACACACAGAAAATCCCACACACAGAGACATCACAAACACTGAATCTCACACAGACATCTGTTAACAACAGAGGCACTGATAAAACACAATGTTTTTAACAATATCTATTTTCAAGTGCATGTATGCTGTCAACAGATGCACTACAGTTTCCTTAAGTTATGTAAACATGCATCATAAACAATGTTAAGAAATATTGTTTAAGGATTTCAGTTTGAAAGTTGGATACAAATCTCCACCTTGGTATTGCTGTCTCCCCAATGTCCCTCTCAGTCAGACTTATAGCAACATTCAAGACACAGGAGTTGCTTTTTATCCTTTACATATAGCTTCCAAATTATGAGTAACTGTACAAGAGTTTGCTGACCAGAGACATGTTTTCTTGTAAAACGTGTAAATTAACATATGCCTTCGTTCTACACTGAACATAGTAAGTAAGTGAGAGAATGAGAGAGACCACCTGAATGAGCAAATGTTGAAGAAATTTGACAGTAACCACATGTCTACTTACATTGGAAATATACATAGTGCCATCATTTCGATCATCCATTGTTCCTTGCATCTGATCCTGAAATGCAAATACTTTGAATAGTTTACCTTCATGAAATTAATTACAAAATATCCTGTGAGATGAAGTATGTGACAACAAGAATCATCAGAAGATGACAAATCCCCCCGGCCCCCACATATATGAAAGAGCAAATCATCTGACAGTTACTTGATCTGACCAACTTGATTTTTTTTTATATGACCAACTTGATTTTTGAGGCACCACTTCAAGATCTGATTGAATAAAACACACACTGACAACACCTGATAAACACAATACCTCACACACAGAAAACATCTGAAACAGACAACAAAGCCACACACAGACAACATCTCACACAGACAAGATCTGACAAAGAGACAGCATCTCATACCACAACATCTCACAAAGACATCATCTCACACACATCTCACACAGACATCATCTCACACAGACATCTCCCACAGCATCTCACACAGACACACATCTCATACACAACATCTCACACAGACATCTCCCACACAACACATCTCACACAGACAACATCTCACAGACATCTCACACAGACAACATCTCACACAGACATCTCGACACAGAGACACCATCATAACACAGACAACATCTCACACAGACATCTCTCACACAGACATCTCATACAGACAGACATCTCACACAGACATCTCACACAGACAACATCTCATACAGACAACATCTCACACAGACAACATCTCACACACAGACACAACATTTCACACAGACAGCATCTCACACAGACACAGACATCAGACACACAGACAGCATCTCACACAGACATCATCTCATACAGACACATCTCACACAGACATCATCTCATCTCACACAGACAACATCTCACACAGACAACATCTCACACAGACACATCTCACACAGACACACAGACAACATCTCACACAGACATCTCATACTGACAGACATCTCACACAGACAACATCTCACACACAGACAACATCTCACACAGAGACAGCATCTCACACAGACAACATCTCACACAGACAACATCTCACACAGACAACATCTCACACATAACATCTCACACAGAGACAACATCTCACACACAGACAACATCTCACACAGACAACATCTCACACACAGACAACATCTCACACAGACAGACACAACATCTCTCAGACAACATCTCACACAGACACATCTCATACAACATCTCACACACAGACAACATCTCACACAAAGACAGCATCTCACACAGACAACATCTCACAGACAACATCTCATACAGACAACATCTCACACAGACAACATCTCACACAGACAACATCTCACACAGAGACAACATCTCACACAGAGACAACATCTCACACAGACAACATCTCACACAGACATCAGACAACACACAGACAACATCTCACACACAGACAACATCACACAGACAACATCTCACACAGACATCTCACACAGACAACATCACACACAGACAACATCTCACACAGACAACATCTCACACAGACATCTCACAGACAACATCTCACACACAGACAATATCACACAGACATCTCTCACACAGACAGACATCTCACACACAGACATCTCACACACAGACAACATCTCAGACACACACATCTCACATCTCACACAGACAACATCTCACACACAGACAACATCTCACACAGACAACATCTCACACAGACAACATCTCACCCAGACAACATCTCACAGACAACATCTCACACAGACAACACATCTCATCTCACACAGACAACATCTCATACTGACAGCATCTGACACAGACAACATCTCACACACACACAGACAACATCTCCCACACAGACACACAGACAGACATCTCAGACACACAGACATCTCACACACAGACAGCATCTCACACACAGACATCTCACACACAGACAACATCTCACACACAGCAGACAACATCTCCAACACAGACATCATCACACACAGACAGCATCTCACAGACAACATCCCACACAGACAGCATCTCACACAGACATCTCACACAGAAACAGCATCTCACAGACAACATCTGCAACAGAGAAAACATCTCCCACACAGACATCTCCCACAGACAACACCCCACACAGAGAATATCTCCGACAAACAACATCTCATACAGACATCTCCCACAGGCAACATCCCCCACAGGCAACACCCCACATAGACATCTCCCACACAGAGATCATCTCCGACAGACAACATCTCATACAGACAACATCTCCCACAGGCAACATCTCCGACAGGCAACATCTCCCACACAGAGAACATCTCCCACAGACAACATCTCCCACAGACAACATCTCCCACAGACAACATCTCTGACAGGCAACATCTCCGACAGGCAACATCTCCCACACAGAGAACATCTCCGACAGACAACATCTCCCACAGACAACATCTCCGACAGGCAACATCTCATACAGACATCTCCCACAGACAACATCTCATACAGACATCTCACACAGGCAACATCCCCCCACTGACAACATCTCACATACAGCACTCCTGTAGCCCACAGTACCTTGTTGTCAGTCTCGCCTCTGTGTTCAGCTGCTGTGTATTTGTCATCCTTTTTACCACCAGAGCTGTAGGTGACAAGTATTGCCCTTTTGTCCATGTCAAGCACACCCTGGACAGAGAGAGAATTGGGATGACTCAACCAAGTCAGACAATGATCAGAACATCTACATATTATCACACACCTTTAAAATGAAGACGGACAAGTTATTTAAAACTTCTTTAAAACAATTGAGGTTACATTTTGTTGTACGTTCTAACACCCTAATAAAACAAGAACATGACTCGACGACAGTGGTAGATTATACACCTAAACACTGCCTAGGTTGCAGCAGAGAATGGCTCATACAAAAACACTAGTCTAAGTTCATCACACAGACATCCAAATGCCACAGAAGTTACCTTTGTAAAATCCATGACTTCAACTGCTTCAGCAACACTTCCAAATTCCAAATAGCCATATCCTCTATTTGAACCTGAAATAATATGAAACTTTACTAAGCATTATCAGCATTGAACCAGCAACTAAGCGAGAGCCTATTGTCAGGGTAGTGGATTAGTCTAGTGGTTCTACTGTTCAGTTAGGTTCAACTCCCACATCAGGTGATGCTATTTCTCATGCACTGATATTTATTTGTTAAAAGTTCACTCACTCATCTGCCCATTTGTTCAATTTTGATTCCCAATTCCATGATGTCCTAAGAACTTTGTTTAGAGATAGCGAGAATTGGTAAGATTGTAATGAGCTTGATTTATGTTAAATAAAATTGATTTAAGTGTACATTATTAATGATGTTTATTGTTACTGGTATGAATGACAGATTATTGAATTTTGCAGTTATTTACATGTAGAGTGAAGTATGTGAGAAATGAAATGCATACATACATCACCCTCTCATTCAACTTTAACCACATTTGCAACCTACCAGACTTCCTATTCTTCAACACTATTACATTAGTTGGTTTGAAGCCAAACTGTGTAATATGACCACGTATCTGAAAAGAAACAAATAAATAGCATATGACAAAGTTTCTTTAATGCTGAGAATTTCTAGTTCTTCAATGATGTAATATTGGAGCCATACTTCAAGAGTGTTACACTTCAAAATACTTCAAAGGTGTTACACATCAGAGACATACTTCAAGGGTGTTACACATCAGAGACATATTTCAAGGGTGTTACACATCAGAGACATACTTCAAGGGTGATATATCAGAGACACTTCAAGGGTGTTTCACATCAGAAACATACTTCAAGGCTCTTACAAATCAGAGACATACTTTAAGGGTGTTATATCAGAGACATACTTCAAGGTTGTTACACATCAGAGACATACTTCAAGGGTGTTATATCAGAGACATACTTCAAGGTTGTTACACATCAGAGACATACTTCAAGGGTATTACATCAGAAACATATTTCAAGGGTGTTACATCAGAAACATATTACAAGGGTGTTACATCAGAGACATATTTCAAGGGTGTTACATCAGAGATATACTCCAAGGGTGTTACACATCAGAGACATATATCAAGGGTGTTACACATCAGAGACATACTTCTAGGGTGTTACACATCAGAGATATACTTCAAGGGTGTTACACATCGGAGATATACTTCAAGGGTGTTACATCAGAGACATACTTCAAGGGTGTTACTTCACGGTTGTTTCATCAGAGACATATTTCAAGGGTGTTTTATCTGAGCCATGCTTCAACAGTGCAACAAAGGAGCCATACTTCAAGGGTGTTATATCAGATACATACTTCAAGGGTGTTATATCAGAGACATACTTCAAGGGTGTTATATCAGAGACATACTTCAAGGGTGTTACATCTGAGCAATACTTCAAGGGTGTTATATCAGAGCCATACTTCAAGGGTGTTGTATCCCAGCCATACTTCAAGGTGTTATATCAGAGCCATACTTCAAGGGTGTTTTATCTGAGCCATACTTCAACAGTGCAACAAAGGAGCCAGACTTCAAGGGTGTTATATCAGAGACATACTTCAAATGTGTTATATCAGAGACATACTTCAAGGGTGTTACATCAGAGACATACTTCAACAGTGTAACATAGGAGATATACTTCAAGGGTGTTTTATCTGAGCCATACTTCAACAGTGCAACAAAGGAGCCAGACTTCAAGGGTGTTATATCAGAGACATACCTCAAATGTGTTATATCAGAGACATACTTCAAGGGTGTTACATCAGAGACATACTTCAACATAGTTACATCTGAGATATACTTCAAGGGTGTTTTATCTGAGCCATGCTTCAACAGTGCAACAAAGGAGCCATACTTAATGTGTGTTATATCAGAGACATACTTCAAGGGTGTTTCATCCGAGCCATGCTTCAACAGTGTAACATAGGAGCCATACTTCTAGGGTGTTATATCAGAGACATACTTCAAACGTTGTTACACATCAGAGATATACTTTAAGGGTCTTTCGCATCAGAGACATACTTCAAGGGTGTTACATCAGAAACATATTTCAAGGGTGTTACATCAGAGACATACTTCAAGGGTGTTATATTACAGACATATTTCAAGGGTGTTACACATCCGAGACATACTTCAAGGGTGTTTTATCCAAGCCATGCTTCAACAGTGTAACATAGGAGCCATACTTCTAGGGTGTTATATCAGAGCCATACTTCAAGGGTGTTATATCTGAGCCATACTTCAAGGGTGTTATATCAGAGACATACTTCAAGGGTGTTATATCAGAGACATACTTCAAGGGTGTTATATCAGAGACATGTTAGGGTGTTATCAGAGACATACTGGCGTGACCCTACAAAGGGTGTTATATCAGAGACATACTTCAAGGGTGTTATATCAGAGACATACTTCAAGGGTGTTATATCAGAGACATACTTCAAGGGTGTTATATCAGAGACATACTTCAACAGTGTAACAAAGGAGCTTCAAAGGTGCACCTGCTGGGAGACAAACTTCATTTGTGTCATACCAGAGCCATACTTCAAGTGTGTACGGTCAGAGACAAGCATCAAGGGAGTCATATTGAAGATAAATGTTCAAGCATGTCCCTTCCAAGATAAAGAATGGGCAAATGGAGTGATAGTAGTTAAATAGAATTGTAGCTTAATCTTTACAAACTTAAAGTCAGTTGCTTGATCTAACTTCCACTTGTAGGTGATAAGTACTCTGCTTGTAAGCAGAGTAATTATTATCATAATTTTAAACACATTTACCACAGCAAATAAGTCATCTCAAGCCTTTGCAACTGTCACAACTGTTTGATCAGCTTGTTTATGGAACTGGTTCAAAATTTCATTACAACATGGCTTTGTTATGACCAGAAATAGTCTTTTTCAAAGAGTGAATGAGTTTAGTTTTACGCTGCACTCAGCAATATTCAAGCTATATGGCGGCGGTTTGTAAATAATCGAGTCTGGACCAGACAATCCAGTAATCAACAGCATGAGCATCAATCTGCGCAATTGGGAACCAATGACACGTGTCAACCAAGTCAGCGAGCCTGACCACCCGATCCCGTTAGTCGCCTCTTAAGACAAGCATAGTCGCCTTTAATGGCAAGCATGGGTTGCTGAAGACCTATTCTACCCCGGATCTTCATGGGTACTTTTTCAAAAAGAGGCCGCTGTGGTGATAATACTGAAAGTCAGACTGAACCTATCGAACAAACTGGGGAGTTATCATCGGTGGGAGCAAACTGGTACAGATTCATCTTCATTGATCCAGCGGTTTCAGGGAAGATTTTACACAGTACCATTCATACCAGAGTCTGTATGACAGATGCCCTTGAAACAGGACATGACATAAGATCCCTTGACCATGAAGCAAGTGAGTCACAAACTAAAACTTACTGCCTTCCCTCCAAAAAAAGGTGGGACGTTCCAAAACACCAGGGTGTCTGAGGGGACAGTAGTTGCCCAGTTCCGCCAGGTATGCACCTAAAATTGAATTTTTTTACTATTAATTGTATATCAGTAAAAGCTTATCAGTATTTCTCATAAGGATGCGTAAACATGAAATTTTTAGAGTAAAATTATTATTTTATACTTATCCTGACTCATGCTTATTGCTTGTCTTCTTCTTCTTGCGAACATAGTGGAACACGTGTATCTCCCAATTGAAGTTCCCTTCAATTAAAAAATCACTAATTAGTACTCACCACGAGTTACCTCCCTTCCACAAGCGCGTGAACGAGGGCGCCACCCGAACCCATGTGCCTCACTCTCTCCTTTTGTTTCGAGCCTGACACTTTATTTTTTCCAAGAAATCCAAAGTGTTAAGGTGGGGAGGACAGGAGGAAGCTTACCTCATGAGTCAGGATAAGTATAAAATATTAATTTTACTCTAAAAATTTCATATTTTTCCTTATCCTGACTCATGCTTATTGCTTGTAGAAACCGACGGAAAAAGAGGTGGGAATATATATACTTTGGATTTTAATAATTAGTGATTTGAACTGTGATGATTGTAATAACCCTATGGGAACTTCATAAAGGCACTGAACTGATGAATTCCTGCTGTTTAACTTATCAGCTGCCATATAAAGGTTATTACAATTTATTGAATATGATAAAGTATATACAACATTAATGTAAGCTGAAGCTATTAATGTGATAGTATAAACTTCTGTGAGTTTATAGTGGATACTTTTATAAATTAACCAAAGTATTAAGCTTCAGATATGCATATATTTAAGCTATAATAGTATAGTACAGTGCTTAAGATATAATTATAACTTAAGCTGTATAATAGTAACCAACTCTTTAGAGTTTGTTAGCTAATACATTTATGCATATGACCATATGACTGCAGCTTTAAGGATTGATGAAACTTAAGCTGAACATATATATAGTAGCAAAACTCCTAGGAGTTGTAAGCTTATATATAGTATGATATAAAACCATAGTACTGAGCTTAAGATAATAAATTAAACTTCAGCAAAATATATAGATAGCATGTAGCTATTAGTACTGTTATCAGATAAGTATAAAATCTGTAAGATAGACTTATCTTCTCCGTGGAACTGTCAACTGTTGAGCGAGGACCATGGGACCGAAATGGTGGATACCTGAGGCGTCCCTCGGTGGTGATATCTCTCAGATAGTGGTTGGCAAACACCATATCGGATCTCCAGAAACATCCCTCCATTATGGTATTCAGCGAAACAGCAATTCCCATGTAGAGCGAGAGTTGAGGCTAGCTCTAATTTCAGAGGATTAGAAGCTCTTGGAGGGTCGAGTCCTGCAGCCTTGTAGGCACGTGTATGACAGTTCTGATCCAGATAGAGATCGTAGAGTGCATTGAGACTTCCGCCTGCATAGCTGTAGATATAGGGATAAATAATCTCTTGAATTTCCCTCTGCACTGTTTGGATCGTTGAAGATATATTTTCAGTGCCCTCACTGGGCATAGTGATAGATCCATCGTGATCATGCGGTCCAAGTATGGATGAGAGAGCTGGGGACGGAATAATCTGTCTGGTTAACCTGGCAGTTGGTTTTCGCTATAAAAATCCCAGCAAAGTCCCAGATGAGCGATGTTACGAATATCATCAAAGCGTTCTCTCAGTAATCCAATCGCGTGAATCTTCTGACATCCTGGCGGCCATAGCTAGTGCTAACCGGAATAAGGGTTTGTGGGTCAGTGATTCAAACGATGGAGATAGCAATGGTTCATAAGCCTCACTATTGAGGTGTTGGAGCACTATATTTAGATCCCAGGCTGGAGCATGAAACTTCTCGTTTCTGATCCTCCAATCGAGGCGCTTGTAACAAAGCCAGTAACTCTGGTGTTTTTGTTAACTTGACGTTCGCGTTCGCATAGTTATGACAGAACTTATAGCTGCAAGATAAGTGGACAAGGTTGAGCCTTTTAGATTCTTAGTTTGTCGTGAGATAACATAAGAAATCTGCCACTTGAGGATGTGTAGCATATCTGGCTGTAAATCCTTTCTTAGCAGCGTAATTGACAAACTGTGCCATTTGTCATCGAACAAGTTACGAAGTTGAGTTACGAGTGCAAAGCGTGACCACTTTAGCCGCTTCTGGCAGAATAACCTCTCTTATTCAGACATGCCTTGATACAATCCATACGTGAAGTTGGAATGCTTCTGGTGTTTCGTGCACTTGTTTGGTGTGCGGATGTATCAATAGATTGGCGCGTTGTGGGAGCTGAAGAATTGGTTTTCCCATTACTTGAATGAGATCTGGAAACCAAGTTCTTGCTGGCCAGTAGGGCGCGACTAAAATCAGATGGAGGCTCTGCGTTTGACTGATTTTCTGTAAGACTTGTGGGATCAACGCTGGAGGCGGGAAAGCGTACGCGTTGAGTCTCTCCCACGATATGCTTAGTGCGTCCGTTGCCCATGCTAGTGGGTCTGGCACTGGCGACACGAATGTTGTCAGTTGCTTGTTGAATCGAGTGGCGAATAGGTCTATCAGTGGAGATCCTATTTCCATGATTATTTGATTGAATATCTCTGTGTGGAGCATCCATTCTGTCGGCGACGGTTGGTGTGGCCGAGAGAGAGCGTCTGCTAATACATTCTTTGCTCCTGGAATGTGGCAAGCTCTGACGTGTATGTTTAGATTGTCGATTAAATCGGAACAGTCTGAAACATCGAGTCAGTAGGTTCTGTGACCTTGTTGAACCTTGTTTGTTCACATAAACGCCACTGTTGAATTGTCTGTGTGAACCATCAACTGAGCCGCGTTCTGTAGCATGTTGCTCCAGTGACTTATGGCGTTTATGACTGCTTGCATCTCTAGCAGATTTATGTGACATTTGCTCTCTTGATTGCTCCATAGGCCTGACGCTGTCCTGCCAGCAAGGTGGGCTCCCCAGCCTTGTAGTGACGCGTCTACGTAGAGATGTGTGTTCGATTCCGGCTCTACTAAGGAGACGCCTCCACAAACATTCAATCTCTTGGTCCACCAGAGTAGATGTGGTTTGACATAATCTGGTAGACTGAATGGTAGAGGGTCCTCGAGATGAGCATTGATGAGGACTTGTAACGGACGTAATTGAAGCCTGCCTCTGACTGTCAAGTCTTGAGCTGATGTGAGTAGTCCCAATAGGCTCTGCCACTGTCGTAGAGAGTAGGGCGGGAGGAATAAGTTGTTGGATCTTGATCCATCTGTCCTCCGGGACTACAATACGATTCTGAGCTGTTAGAAATCGTATACCTAGAATTTGCAGATCCTGCGTTGGTTCTAGGTCCGACTTGAGTAGATTTACTAACCATCCTAATTGTGTTAGTAGCTTGATTATAAAGTTCAGCTGTAGTCTGAGACGCTGTGGATCTGGATCCACTTGTATACCGTCGTCTAGGTAAAAAGCGCTGCAAAGACCTTGACGATGTAGGTATGAGACAATAGGCTTGGTCACTCTTGTGAATACCCAAGGGGCCGATGTGATTCCAAAGGGAAGAACCTTCCATTCGTAATGTTTCCCGTCTAGGATAAATCTTAGATATTTCCTTGAGTTGGGATGAATCGGAATGTGTAGATATGCGCCTTGCAAATCTATGCTGGCCATGTAATCTTTGGGGCTAATTAAATGCCGGGTTAAGGTAAGTGTATCATGCTAAACGTTGGTGGTTTGCATAGATATTCTCTGTTGAAGATGCTCATGTTGTATATGAGACTAAACTTCTCCTTGGAGTTTTCTTCGCACTAGGAAAACTGGGGAGTAGAAACCTGGTACGATGTTTCGCTGATCCAGAACTTCTAAGGCCTGTTTGTTTAGTAGAGTAAGTACTGTTTCTCTTAACATAGGTAGTTGTGCCGGTTGAACGTTGAACCCTGTGGGTTGACTGTTAACGGAGGCTTGGGCCTTGAGTTGTATTAGATATCCTTGCTGTAGGATGTTGGATACATATGGATCTTGTAGTATTCCCCAGTTTTCCCCAGAGTAGCTGAAGGCGCCCACCCACTTGAGACGCGGTTGTACTGGAACGGCTGGGGTGGAAGACGCCAGTCGCTCGAACCTGAATTTCATCGCCTAAACCAACAGGCACCTCTGGATGATCTGCCTCTAGCTGATCCTCCCTAAATTTGTTGTATGGGCTGAAAAAGAACTTGGGATCTTTAGCTGCAGCTAATTTCTTGTCCCGCTTTCTGTAGCCCGAAAACTTACACTTGCCCGAAAGTATCTCTGTGTTGTCTGTTTAATGATCGTTCTCGCTAAGGTATCCATGGATCTGATCATAAGAACCTCTCGAAGTCTTTAGATACTTCTTTGGAGACCTTGTCTATGTTGCCACCAAACAGTAAGGGCTTGATGACCATGGAGCTGTGTATAGAGATTCTGTAAATTGCTTATCCCAAGAGCAGGAGGCTAGTAAGCCTTCGTCGGTGAGCCATGGTAGTAGTTTCAGTAAGCTCGACAGGTGCTCTGTAAGAAATTGGTGGTCTCTTTTCTGCATGAGTAGAGCTGAGTAGATCATTCTATCTTCCTCTCTGTAGAATTCTTGAACTTGGTGATGAGAGTTTCATTAATCGCTCTACATCTATTCAATCCAAAGAACATTCTCCTGGCGATGGTATCTAGTTGAGCGAATTTGCGATTGTCTACTTTGTAACTTCTGGACTTGGCATCGCTGATTAATTTAAAGTTGTCATCAATATCCTGGGCCTTGAAAAAGGGGTCAATATTGTGTCCAGCAAATTTCTTGGCATTGAAGACCGGGAAATGTGTAGATTGGACTTTCGAAGATTTGGAACAGGCTGTATCCAGATTAGCTGGTACCGCTGCAATCGGGTCACTAGGAGGTAAGGTGATATTGTCTACATCATCATCCTTCATCAGGTAAGTCTGAGTTGAATTCTCGCTCTTCATGGGGAAGCAAGTTGTAACTCATTCACCATCCAGTATCTAATCTCAGCATCTGAGAAAATGATACCTTCTTCCTCTGGATGTAGGGTCACATGTCGGAGTCCTAGATCTGTAGGAAGATCTATGAGAGGACTGTGGTGAACGGACTGACGAGTGGCTAGTGTAAGGAGACCTTGGAGGAGACATCCTCGCTAACGCTGGGGACTTCGCCAAGCTCTTCTAGATCTTCTGGGCGCAGGTAGATTTGGAGCCACTTAGCCTTCGCGACCTCGCTAAAGTGTATCGAGTCAGTGTCCGAATCGACATATGAGCCGCTTGCTTCGCGAATCCACCTCTGTGTTCCCTAGGGTGTGGGCTCGGCTAAGCCCTTCTCCGCTTGATGTCCCTCGTAACTGGAGAGGCTCTAGCAACTCCCTTGGCGAGGCGCCTAGGACTTCCTTTGCGTAAGTGATCGCTACGGGCTGGGTTGTTCTTCAGCGGAGAAGCGCTTGTGGGCTCTGGGGTTCTACGCAGCCAAGCGGGCTCTGGGGCCCTGTATGACTTATTATGGGTTGGGCTCTGGGGCCTCTGTAAACCGTAACGTCCTCCATCAGTCTCATGATTTGGTTGACCAGGTCGCCTGGGACGGTCTGCGCGAGGCGCTGAGGGTGGCCTCTCTGTGAAAGTGACGGACCCTCAATCATAAACTCCGCGCCAGCGTAGGCATCTCTGGTTGCGTGTTGATCTGCGCTGTAGTGACGGTAGCAGATACTGGACGCTTCTTATGACGCACATCTGGAATGATAATCGGAATGTCATCATCATATAAACATAATTCTGAGACAGGTAGAATATCGGAGGCAAAATTATTTGTAGCTTCGTGAGATTTCCCTTTGACGGCTGTGGACCTGGGGTTTGAAGCGCGACGTTGAGATGATGTGGACGCTTTCCTAGTCTTAGACTGTGAAGACGGAATGTCTTGAGATGCAGGTCGCTTCTTGACATAGCGGACTGCGCCCCACGCTTATCCCCCAGGGAAACTCCGGCAGGCCACCAGCCGGTGGCGGGTCGAATCAGTCAACAGTTGACAGGGTATAATAGCTTCCGATCTATTAGCCATGACTGAAGATTGTTTACGAGATTTATCTGCCTTCCGTCTCAAAACGGAACATAAATATTTTTCAAAGGCAGAAATTGGTAAATTAATATATAATTTACAACGAGAAACAATAGAACATGGAGTAATGCAACTAGGGCATTTTAAATGTGGATCGGTAGCGAATAACGAAGTTTACAACCTGTGCAGATTCTCATTAACGAACTGCTGAACAAAACACGCTAACCGTGAATAAAACAGCAGAAACACGACTAATAATCAATGCAAGTTGAATAAGGATACTAGTTACACCTCTATCACTGATTATAAGAGGTACTAAACTAAATATAAATAAAGGATATAGTGTGTTGGGAGACACAGGCGCTCTCACGTCCAGCACACTGGGCGAAGAAGGAGAGAGTGAGGCACATGGGTTCGGGTGGCGTCCTCCTTCCCGCGCTTGTGGAAGGGAGGTAACTCGTGGTGAGTACTAATTAGTGATTTTTTAATTGAAGGGAACTTCAATTGGGAGATACACATGTTCCACTATGTTCGCAAGAAGAAGAAGACAAGCAATAAGCATGAGTCAGGATAAGGAAAAATAAGGGATTTTAGAGTTCAGACAGGGTTATAAGCCAGTCAAACTACTGCCACATGAGATGCTTCCTGGCAATTCCACACATCAACTTACAGCTTGCTCTGACCACTTGAGGACACGTAAACTGTAATCAGCCTTCACCTCGCATTTCAAGATCTCGACTGATCCCTGTTAAAAAGATGCAACAACCTCAGCAACTATGACAACATGGGCCATACAACCGTAGTACAAACTCATGGTTATCGAGCATAAATTAGGATGGTAGTTGTCCTTTCATAATAACCTCTTATCAGGTTTTACTTTTTACAACTGGAGACCTCATCAAGAGTAGGACATTTTCTTTTTATATGAAAACTGGGCAAAAGGTACTTAATGTCCCAGACTAAGAACTGAATATGAACTCTTTCATAATGAATGATGTCATTTGACTCCCTGATCAGTAGTCAGGTGACGCCATCGCTAGACTACAGGCTTACAGGTGGTTCATTTACATGTTCAGCAGATTTTCCACACAGACACAGACACACGCGCACCTGTCAGCACCAGCCATACACCTGGATCTCTTTCTCACTCACCTGGATTTTACACAGACACACACGCATGCACACACAGACACACACATGCATCACACACACGCCATTCCGTCACCAGTAGCCATACATGTTCAAACCCTCCACAACCAAACTGTGTCCTAATCCTGCCCATACATTTCACCTGCCCTAATTACTCACCTGTATTTTCTCCATCCATCTAACAGCATGTTGTTGTGTGAAGAAGTCGATGAAGGCAACCCTTCATGATCACCTGATGGAAATATAAACAAGATCTGCATTACCAGCACCGGACCTGTACCTCTGGACTGGGGAAGTAATCTGGAGGTCATCAGTTTCCATGGCAACTGATCACACCAAAATCACATTTTCGGCATCAATTGTGGTACTTCAATGAAAATATGTTTTTTTGTGTATGTTGTCAATATCAAGGTGAATCCAGTCTGTCTTTGCACTGCAAGTATCGGGAGAGGGTTGTTAGTTTCAGCTGATACTTGCAATATCCTGCTCTGTCATGGCACCTTGTAAATATCCTGAGGCAATCTATAGTACGGGAACAGACAATCTGCTAGATCACTTGTAAACAGCTAGTCCTCATAAACACAGACTCTCACCTCAGGACAAGATCCCCGGCAGAATCCTGAGACTTTTAAAATTGCTTTAAAAAGCATTACAGCACTTTTAGCTACAGAGCCTTCATTATATGTGAGTGAGTATGCTTTTACTCCGCTTTCAGCAATATTCCAGCAACATCACATTGGGGGCACCAGAAATGGGCTCCAAACATTCATATATATGTAGATTAGAAGCAAGTATATTCTTAGTCTGAAATGATATGAATCCATACCACTGTTTGATGCTGTGAAAACATCTGCTAGAAAAACATCAATGAACCTTTATCAATTCTCGGCTCCAAAACATACATTCAAGGTGTACTTAGTATACAGGCAATATCTTGAACCAATAACAACACATGTGCCAACTGAAGGTTTTAACTATAAATTGTGTATTCATAATACTTATCATATCTCACAATCTGTACTCTCTCTCTTATATTCGACAGTTGAGTGGAAACGAACTGTAACAAAGTTTTCGGCCTCTCTGAATAGCTTGCCCGAACACACCCCTGCTACCCCATCAGGTCTGGGAAGCCTGCAGCTTGTCCCTTCTTGTGACCCTCCTTTGTAGTCATTCTCGTCTTGGAGCTTGTAGTCTTAATTTGCGTAGTAGGGTCGGTCGTGCGGGAATTCATCACGTGAGATCGGATAAGTACTATATCATAAATATATCGTTCAAATTTTCGAATATTTAAGCTTATGCTGTCTCATGATCTGTACTTATCCCACAGTTGGACAGTGGGTAGCAGATCACCCTGTGTCTTTTGGTGGATGACAACCGTGATAATGGTGATGATATTGCACAAGGAGGCCGGTAATGACTGCAATCTGCCGATTGACTGCACAGCTTCTAGCGTTACATTGCACAAAACACCCAGGGAGTGGGCACTCACGAGTTAACATGTTTTTCAAGCCATATGATGGAACTCAGGCAGGTTTCCCTGCTTCACTCTGTTTTCCAGAAAGCCCCAGTCAACTAAGGTCTTGCAACTCTAGTCTGGCCAGCCCCTGCTCCAAAACCATCACCCGCGATCGCGCATAAAGGTGAAAGGCAGAACGGCTCAGTGAGCTCAACTGTTTAACGTTTAGTTCCGAACAACATCAAAAGAACTTCACTAATTTTCTTAAGCTTGATCAATGATGTGTTTGGAACGCATTGAAATGACTTGGAATTGGTATTCATACTCCACTGACGTGATTGCTCACCTCTCAGTCTTTGAAGATGTCCAGCTATGACTGTACTGCAATGGCCCTGTGTCAATCCAGGTCAAGTAGATCTATACTGAAGGGAAGTAAAACGAAGATGAAGTCGAATGAATACACCTTTATTCACTTTCTACAATGTAGCGATGTATATCTTCAGCACTCTTACTGGTCAGAGCAAGAGATCTTCTGTGTTGTGTCATCAGGCCTGAGCATGCTGGACAATGGCGGTATAATGAAGAGTCTATCCGGTTGCCCTGGCAGTTGATTTTTCGCTATGAAGTGCCAACAAAGATCCAGGAAAACTCTGCCATGATTCTTCCTCTCAAACTGTATTCGGTTAATGTCCAGGGGGTAGAGTTCTGACATGCGAACAGCAGTAGCCAGTGCTACCAGAAAGAAAGTCTTGAAGGTAATGTGATTGAAGTTCTTCACTTCTGGAGGTCCGTAATCGTCTGAGAAGAGATATCTGAGAACGATCGAGAGGTGCCAGGCTGGATCTCAGAACTTTTTAGATTGGTCAGATAACTTGTATGAGCACAGTAGGGACTAGAGTTCAGGCACAGTTGAAATCTTATTCCCATCGCCATAGCTATAACTGTGTTGATACTAGGGCTGGGACGATTCACAATGCACTGAGACATGATGATACAAAAATAAGAGAAAGTAAAGAGAAAAAAGTAAGAGAAAATACGCAAGTATGATAGAGTTGCTTGTTTGTTTATTACAATAGTGTTATTGTTATTCACAAATACCTTGAAATAAATCCATTTAAATCTTAATACTGTCTGATTCTTTCAAGGTGTATGTATCGTGATACATATCGTATCGCAGGCAAAATATTGCGATACAAATCGTATTGTGACATAGTGTATCGTCCCAGCCCTAGTTGATACCTGATATGTAAGTAGCAAGGGTAGACGCCTTCAGTTTCCTTGACATACGCACATGTTTTAGGTATTCAGCAACAACCTGGGCGGATGCTGTAGCAGGAGACAGTATGCCCTTCAATCTGCCGTAGTCTTCAAACTTCTTCCACTTGCCATCATAAAGAGAGAGTGTAGAAGAACGATGAGCCGAAGTAACTGCCGAAGCAACTCTTCTGGAATACCCTTTGGTGATTTAAGATTTCTGCAGAATTCGCCAAACATGTAGATGTAGTGTCTGTGGGGACCAGTATATTCTCACTTCTTGGTGTTGATTATCCACCCTAGCTGGTGAAATAGCTTGATGGTAAATTTAGCTAAACCTGTAGAGGTTTCCAATTCTCTGAAGAGAATCGTCCTTGGGGTACATATATGTATTTTCTGAGGCTGAAACTGTCATGTGACAGTTGTATCAACGTTTTAATAAAAATATTGTACAATAAATAAAAATCTGTTGTATCTATTACACGGCCCCCACCACGTGGAGTTACTTCCCTGCTACGCATGCGCAGACAACCAGGTAAGCACCTAGGCCCGTATCATCATTCCTTCTGCTGAATAAATCAGTGAACAATTTGCGAGAGGTGGGTCTATCTCAAGGATCTACTCTTTTCAAAGAATTGGAAACCTCTACAGGTTTAGCTAATTCTTTTTCATAGAGATCGTTCTTGGGGTACATGTATGCATTAACTCAGACTCCCAAAGACCGGAGGCTAGGGAGGAGGGAATTCTGTCAAAGTACACATAAATAGCGATCGTTAGGAAGAATGTAACAGACGCCACAACACTCACCTGTCACGTGTCCTGAAGCTTCCGCGAGAGGCATGATGGGAGGGTAACCGACAGGGAGGAAAGTACTGAGACCCGACCTCACAGGTTAAACAAAGTAATATGCACACAGTGTGAAAGTAAAAATACCCGCCCACATCATGAGAGCACTGTAAGGGGGAAAACTAACTCACAACCGACCATAATCTCATCAGAGAAATCGAAAGTAGTTAGATATGACAACAGCGGATATATCAATTATACAAAACTGAAAGCAACGTCAATTGTCCAGATAACCAAGACTCACTCGGTCAGGGTGGCAGGACACTGTCCACTGGAGAGAACAGAACGGCCAAATCACGCACGATCATGAGAATGTGTATCGAGCTGATAGTGACTGATAAAAGTGCTAGGACTGCTCCAAATAGCGGCAGAGTATATCTCTTCAATGGGCAGTGCCGATGCAAAAGCCTTTGAAGTGGCCACTGCCCTGACCGAGTGAGCCTTCAACCCCTCAGGGGGAGGCTTGCCCTTAAGTCTGCGCTGGTGCCTGGGGCTGGGAGAAGAATGAAGACACCATCTCCCGTACTCTGGTGTCCCGGTCGGGCGACAAAGAGACAAGACCCTTGTGAGTTGTGAACCGCGCCCCGAGAAAAACCAAGTCCTGGGTGGGTACCAGGTCGGATTTCTTGAGGTTTATGATCCACCCCAGTCAAACTAGAATGTCTATCACCGTGTGGGTAGAATCTAGGCTCGCTGGCTGAGTTAAAGCGCTGAGCAACCAGTCGTCTAGGTAAGGGTAACAACGCCTTCCTTGTGACCTTGCGAGGGTAGCCGGCACTAACATGAGCTTGATGAACACCCTGGGGGCAGCGGATATGCCGAAGGGGAGCACCGTGAATTGGCAACACATCCCGTCGTAAGAGAACCGGAGGTACTGCTTGAACGATGGATGAATTGGCATATGTAGATACGCATCCTTTAGGTTGATCGACGTAAGCCAATCGCTGGGCTGAACAGAGGAGATCAATCGTAATTAAGTGTCTCCATCTTTAAGGATGGAACCTCCATCATGCGACATTCAACCCCTTGAACCTGCAGTCTATGCAGGATGCATGTGGACCCGAGATGGCTTTCTTGCAGTCCATGCAAACCTTTCTTTTCCTTGACGTTGAATCTTCTTTCCCCATGATGTTAAAGTTATTTAAGTCAGTTTATTTGCCACAGTTTACAGCACGTCAGCAAACTAGTGCAACAAGAAAGAGAATGACTACAAAGAAGGGTCACAATACCAATCAGGATACGAGCTGCATGCTACCCAGGAACTACCCAAGATGTCCAGACCTTGGTGTGTTCAGGGTGTGTTCAGGTGAGCTGTTCAGAGTGGCTAAAAAACTTTGTTACAGTTCGTTTCCACTCAACTGTGGATAAGGTAAGTTTAAAAATTCAAAATTTTGTTCTAATTTGTTTGAAATACAGAAACTGAAACATGAGACAAATTTGCAGAGTACAGAGGAGAACTATTGACAGCTGACAGGCAAACAGGTCATGACAGAAACTTGAGTTCATGTCAAGGTGGTATACCTGTGGGAGATGTCTCGATCTGCATATCCCGGACTTGGTGATGGAAACCATGAAGCAGGAAATAAACCTGTAACAAATGACGATCGATACAAGGCAGCATGGTTTTCAGGTAGTACAAGCAGATGGGCAAAAAAAACAATATATGTCCGTTTCCTATGACATGCTTTTTAAAAATAGGGTAGGTGTGTCGATTTTATCTCTTTTTAAAACTTTTTATATATTTTTTTAGTAGCACCAGGTGGGCACCTGAGAATGTCTTCCAGGATAGGAGATCATGTTGTTTCAATGCCTTGTGATTTGAAAGATTTCTATATCAAATCATTATTCATGTTAATTATTTGCAGGTTTTGACAGTGAGAACCCATTATGCCAATTCAATGAAATCCATTTTAGCCCTACGTACACTGAAAAACATGAAAATATCATACTCGATTTTGATGAAAATGATGAGTTGAAATGAGTTTAATGACTTGGTTTAGAAAAAGAGAGAGAGAGAGAGAGAGAGACAGAGAGAGAGAGAGAGAGAGAGAGAGAGAGAGAGAGAGAGAGAGAGAGAGAGACATACAATTTTAAAAATTGCGGCGTCCTGTCACAAACATCAGACAGTCTGAGAATAAATGCTATTTAGGTTTGTTTTCACCGGTTACAAAATCAAAACTGGTAAATAGAGAGACATAGCTTATAGCATAAGAAGAGGTGTCAATATATTACCACTTACACTTTGACCACAACCTCGCTTCGAGGAAAAATGGTTATATTACAAGTTGTGTCATGCAAAATCCACTTGATCATCAATCATATACATATTTTACTACAACTGGTAAGTAGTTTTGATTTTTTTTCCTGATGAAAACATCAAAGGAAATCAACAAAATGACAAGGTGTTACACATGTCATAATTTACTGAAAATCACCACATCTACGATCTTGGCATTTGACATCTGATCTTGGCATGACAGCGGGAGGCTTTATAGTGCTAGGTCACTGAGATACATACCACAGTTAAGCATGAATACCCCACTCTGACACATTATACTGACTCCGAGCCAACCAGTCCTTGTTGTACCCATCAATGCCGAGTGCCGGGCTGGGACGAACATCAAGGATGCCACTTGGCTCCGGCCATTGAGCCCATGAGTCAATTTGCCTTACGCTACATTTATGCAAAGAGCAGAATCACAGGCTTTCTGAGGTAACGGCATATATTTATCCCTATTTGAGCAAGACAACGTTTCAGGTTACGATGCAACCCTGTGAACACATGCCTATTTAACACTAAGCTCAAAACAACTGAACTTGCCCTACAGTGACACCTTCTATGTGAGAAAACATGACGGACCGTCGACTCACCTGTCATGAAATGCACATCCTGCCTACATGCACAAGGGGTCATCTCAAAGATATTTTATGCTTTTTCATGTGTGTTGAATATGTCTCATCTATTGATCATAAAGTATATGTTGAGATACGTAAAAGGGTATGATACCCATGGAAAAGCTTAAATCAGCCATCGTATTAAATGTCTCAAAATATATAGGTGGCATGACTACCCAGAAGATCGACAGGACTGGATATTATTTGTAAATTGTTATGACATGCTGTTTGCTTCCCAGTTTAATTCCCCCAAAGGATTATTGTATCTCAGCTGATATCTCTATCCCCCAGCCCGACCCCAACCACCGACACCCGTCATGGATTTGCTTTTGAGACAACCCCTCCTACATGTTTCTTTTGATAGTGATAGTGAGACTCCATGGTAGCTACATCCTTCATAGCTGCAGTATTAAAGTTATTATTTTTTACGTCAGCTATCGTTAATAATAAAGCTAAGTTTAATTTTAAAGTGGACATTTAAAATTGTCCTTTGTATTATAATATCATCGCACACTAATTTGCATAAAGCCATGGCTTGTTCCAAACAAGTAGCTTTGCATTGCTCATTTCTGCACTAATCTCTCTTCAGTAAAGTCCTTTTTCTACGTTTCCTATCTCCCTACCACTGAGACTGTAGTTAGGTCGAACTTAGTTTAACAGATATTTCACACTTACACATATTAACTACATAAATTGTAGATATCAACTCGAAAAAAACAGTTTTTTCCTGTTTCCAACAGTACTTCAGTGCGAGGGTCAGTGGTCAAATATGAAATGAAGTTAGATAAAATTAACATGATGAGCAGAAAGGTAAAAGTGAGTGAGTGAGTATGGTTTTATGCCGCTTTTAACAATATCACAGCAGGGGACACCAGAAATGGGCTTCACACATTGTACTCAGGTGGGTAATCAAACCCGGGGTTTCAACGTGACGAGCGAAACGCTTTAACCACTAGGCTACCCCACCGCCCAAGAAAGGTAAAAATGATCTACAAGCTTGACACAAATTTTTGTAAAAGATGTTAGGTTTGATTGTATACTTGGTAGGGCTCTGCAATAGAACCGGTTTACCAGTATTTACTGGTTCAGACATGAAAACGATATGTATTGCGATACGTCGATCGAAAACCAGTATTTTGACATGCATTCAGAAAACTTCGTAACACTCGGAAATCTTCGGATATTTCCGTTTTTTAAATTGTTCCTTTCCTTGTTTCATTTGTGCCAAATATTATTTATATTTTTTAGTTTGTCATGATTAAAAGTTTTTATAAAAGCCTAATCAAGCATTGTTATTTTGTTGTGTTTTTGCTTTATAAATCAAGCATTAACTCGATCATAAGTAGTTGTTTGTTTAAAAATAACTCCTTGCAATATATTGCAATACATATCGCAATACATGCTTTCCCTTCGCAATATATCGCAATATGAAAATTCCCTGCAATACCCACCCCTAATACTTGGGGTGGTCAACAATTTTGTACGTATACATATTTAAAAATTATGCTTAAAAACTCTGTTTAACAGAACTGGGCACCTCAGAAGACTGTGTTTCCTGTTCCATCTAAAAAGTCAAGAGGATCTTGGAGTAAGGAAACTCCTACAGTTCCTATATTTAACACTCAGATTAGAAACCCTTGATTTTCAGCCATAGCTACATAAACAAACAGTAAGTCCTTCATGACACCTCAGCTGCATATCAAAAAATAATGAGAGAGTAATGTTTGATAGACATCTTCAGAAGTTGGGTAATGTCGTAGCAATTGTATGGATTACAACTTCTTAATATCTACCAGGCGATGTTTTGGTATAGATCCTTACACCATAATCAAGCTAAACTTCCGATGATAACATCTATGCCAAAATGTCACACTCAGAATGTGCTACTATGAGTGAGTATTGCTGTACTGTATTGCACTGCAGGATACACCAAAAATGGGCGTCATATTATACCCATTTTGAGGAATTGAAGAGGCATATTTCTGTAAAAACATATAAGGGCTAGCTACATACATCTGCCGGTCTTGTTATTCTTGGGAGACCACTGAGCATAATTGTTTTGGTTTGGACATCTGGCTTCACCACGTTCCATTCCTCCATGGTATTGTCAACAGGAAGCTGAAAATCAATTCTCATCAGTTTTAGTGTAAAATATTGCCATGCATTTCTGCATCAAATATACTTCATAATTCCTATATTCATGGGGACTTAAAACTTAAAAACTAATGAAGTACATTGTCCACATATGCAGTCAGTGTTTGCATTAACACAAAAACCTGCATGTTTCATGCAAATAAATGTACATTTCACGCACAATATTTTCTACCTGCATGTTCTGCAAGCAAAGCATTTCTGTTCTGGGTACATTTCTTAATTAAAATTAAATAGCGATCTCGCCAGATGAAGTGCAAAACTTTGAACCGTGTATGACCATATATGTCATGAATTCATACCTTATATAGTTATTCACAGTTCGGAGATTTTCCAGTCCCACATCCCCAAATTTATATGAAACTGTAAAACTTGTTGAATGAGTGAAAGTTAAGTTGATACTTCTTCAAACTGATGATGATGACTATGTGAACCGATGGTTGAAATACAACAGGTGACTGAAAGGTGTCTGAGAAGAGACACCTTTCAGAGATTCAGGTGGGCTAATGAAGAAGACTGACAAGACACTGACCCTGACTAAAGGTTCTTCTTCATATGGCCATAGTTGATCCTCATGTCCCAGATGTCTGTCTGCTCTCCTAGATCTGTTGGTGAAAACAGTGAGTGAGTGAGTGGGAGAGAGGGAAGGTGGGAGCAAGGGAGTGTGTGTGTGTGTGTGTGTGTGTGTGTGTGTGTGTGTGTGTGTGTGTGTGTGTGTGTGTGTGTGTGTGTGTGTGAGATTGCTATTCAGTTGCAATTTTACCAAACTTAAGGTACTTCTCTGGGGTTTTATTGTGTTCCAGTGTTGATACTCACTGGATACTCAAATCACAAATCTTACTGTTTCACTTGTGACTGGTTGTCCAAATGATCTCCTCCAGGGATGAAAGTGTGTAGTCTGCCCTCACTCACAGGCAGTACATTCAAATCCATCTCATCCTCAGCTTCCTCTCCCCAGTCTCCCCAGTCTGGCAACAGATCCCGTTCCATAGCGTCACCAAAACTGTCATCTATATCTCTGTTTGTCCTACCTCTGTACTTCTCTTCCCTCTCTCTCCTATCCCTAGACATCTGATCATAATCTTGTTCTCTCCTGTCATCTCTTTCTGTATCCCAATCCCTGGCATCCCATGACCTGTCTCTCGAGTGTGACCTGTTGTCCAAGTCAGGGTCTCTCCATTCCGTGGCTGCCTCACATAAACTCTCCTGTCCCTCTCCCCGAGCCTTCAATGCTCCCAGAAACTCTGTCCTGGTAGTCATCCCATTGTGCAACTCTTCTTTGTGAATGTCTTTGGTACAGATCGTCCTGAAAGTCATCATAGTCTGCCATGGCAGTGCAGCTCCTGTTGCAACAAGACAATGATCATTCATGGTACACATAACTTGAGCCTCTCAATTTGTAACAATTCTTTGTCGACTTTGTCAATGATTACACAATCAAAGCTAAATACACGTATTAACCCAGTAGATTTACATGATATTATATTATTATGA